AAATATTAGCTCTGTCATTAATTATCTTAGTATGTATGAACAAGGAAATGTTACTAGCAATTATAATGTTGACCTTTTTGTCTCCAATTACTTAGATGGCTCTACAAAAACAATTCCATGGTAAGTAGGCTACTTGCATGTATTAAGCCTCAGACTACCTCATTCATTTTTTCACTTTTTAATATGTGTATGCGTATCCTAAAGCAAGAAAACTATGTATTTTAAAATTTGGATTCATTTTATCTCTAAATGTACTCCTCAATTTTAGGTTATTGCATGACACTGTTTTTGCAGGAATCATATACGCTTTAGAAATAAGTAAACGTTACTTACATCAGGAGCAAACTTAATTTTGTGCTAAAAAAAAAAAAAAACTACAAGGAAGATTGAGAGACATAAATGAGAACATGAAGGAAAGTCAGGGGCTTCCAGTCAGACTAGCTGAGCATCTATATGCTCAGCCATTATTAGCATGAACGGGCTAATTATTTAACCTCACTGAGACTCAAACTTTCATGAAGATTTTTGTTGGTTGAGTTTGGTTTTTCAGTTTGTCTGCTTTTTTATCTGTAAAAGAGAAAATCTATCTCACTTTGCCTGGCTTTTTGAAGCATGTCTTGTAGGTGTGGAATAAACATCCATTATTAAAATAGGAACGAAGGTGGGTTTAGTTGAATGGAGATGCTGAAATACTATTTTGCAATCAATCTAAGTTACGCAAAAATACATAGGCATACCTCAGAGATGTTGCAGGTTTGGTTCCAGACCACCACAATAAAGCAAATATCATAATAAATCAAGTCATACAATTTTTTGATTTCTCAGTGCATATAAAAGTTATGTTTACATTATACTGTAGTCTGTTAAGTGTGAAATAGCATTATATCTAGAAAAATAATGTACTTACCTTATTTAAAATACTTTATTGCTGAAAATGCTAACAACCATCTGGGCCTTTGGAAAATCATAATCTTTTTGCTGGTGGAAGGTCTTGCCTCGGTGTTGATGTCTGCTGACTGATCAGGATGATGGTTGCTGAAGGTTGGAGTGGTTGTGGCAATTTCTTAAAATGAGACAACAGTGAATTTTGCCACATCAACTGACTCTTCCTTTCACGATAGATTTCTCTGTAGCATGTGATGCTGTTTGGTAGTATTTTACCCATAGTAGAACTTCTTTAAAAATTGGAGTCAGTCCTCTCACACCCTGCCACTGCTGTATCAACTATGTTTATGCTATTCTAAACCTTCTGATGTCATTTCAACAATGATCACAACGTATTCACCAGTTGTTTTCATCTCAAGAAACCACTTTCTTTGCCCATTCATAAGAGGCAACTCCTCATCATTCAAGTTTTATCATAATTGTAGCAATTCAGTCCCATCTTCAGTTTCTACTTCTAATTCTAGTTTTCTTGCTATTTCCACCCATCTGCAGTTACTGCCTCCACTAATGTCTTAAAGTCCTCAAAATCATCCCAGAGGGTTGAAATCAACCTCTTCCAAATGCCTGTTCATGTTGATATTTTAACCTCCAATGAATCACAAATGCTCTTAATACCATCTAGAATAGTGAATCATTTTCAGAAGGTTTTCAATTTATCTTGCCCTTATCTATCAGAGGAATCACTATTTGGCAGCTATAGTCTTACAAAATGTATTTCTTAATAAGAGATGAAAATAAAAATTACTATTTGATCTACCAACTGCAGAATGGATGATATGTTATCAGGCATGAAAACATTAATCTCCTTCTAGATCTCCATCAGAGCCTTAAGATGTCTAGAGGTCTAGGTGCATTGTCAATGAGCAGTAATATTTTGAAAGGACTCTCTCTTTTTTTTTTTTTTTTTTCTGAGCAATTGATTTAAACAGTGGCCTTAAAAATATTCAGTAAAGGTTGGGGGCGGTGGTTCATGCCTGTAATCCCAGTACTTTGGGAAGCTGAGGCAAGAGGATTGCTTGACCCCGTGAGTTCAAGACCAGCCCAGGCAACATAGCAAGATCTTGTTTCCACTAAAAATAAAAATAAATCAACCAGGCATGGTGGCGTGAGCCCATAGTCCCAGCTACTCAGGAGGCTTGTGTGGGAGGACTGCTTGAGTGTGGGAGGTCAAGGCTGCAATGAGATGTGATAGGGCCACTGCATGCCAGCCTGGGTAACAGAGCGAGACCTTGTCTCAAAAATAATTCAGTAAAGCATGCTGTAAACAGATGTACTGTCATCCAGGCTTTGTTGTTCCATTTAAAGAACACAGGCAGAGTTGATTTAGCATCATTCTTAGGGGATGTAGGATTTTCGGTATAGTAAATATCCATTAGCTTCAACTTAAAGTCACCAACTGCATTACTCCCTAACAAGACAATCAGCCTGTCCTCAGCAGCGCTGAAGCCAGGCACTGACTTCTATTAAAGAGACAAGGAGGCCGGGCGCCTGTAATCCCAGCACTTTGGGAGGCCGAGGCGGGCGGATCACGAGGTCAGGAGATCGAGACCATCCTGGCTAATGCGGTGAAACCCCGTCTCTACTAAAAATGCAAAAAAACTAGCCGGGCGAGGTGGCGGGCGCCTGTAGTCCCAGCTACTCGGGAGACTGAGGCAGGAGAATGGCGTGAACCCGGGAGGCGGAGCTTGCAGTGAGCCGAGATCGCGCCACTGCACTCCAGCCTGGGCGACTAAGCGAGACTCTGTCTCAAAAAAAAAAAAAAAAAAAAAGAGACAAGGATTTTGAGTGCTACTTCCTAGAAGGTATCTTTTCCCAACAGAAGGCTGTTTTGTCTACATTGAAAAATCTGTTCAGTGTAGCCACTAAATGGGGCAGCTTTGAAGCCAGACATTGACTTCTTCTCTCAGAGAGACAAGGATTTTGGGTGCTACGTCCTAGACGGCATCTTTTTCCCATAGAAGGCTGTTTTGTCTACATTGAAAAACCTGTTGTTTAGTGTAGCCACTAAATAATATTAGGTAATCATTGATCATCATCAATGATATTAGCTGCATTTTCTGGATAACTTGCTGCAGCTTCTCTATCAGCACTTGCTGCTTCACCTTGCACTTTCATGTTATATGTTATGGAGATGGATACTTTCTTAAACCTCCTGAACCACCCTCTACTAGCTTCCCACTTCTGAAGCTTACTAACCTTTCTCAGCCTTCATAGAATTGAAGGGAGTTAGGGCCTTGCTCGGATTAGGCTTCAGGTTAAAGGAATGTTGTGGCTGGTTGGATCTTCTGTCCAAACACCTAAAACTTTCTCCATATCAGCAATAAAGTTTTGCTTTCTGATCATTTGTGTGTTTATTGAAGTAATTTCCTTTTAATTCCTTCAAGAATTTTGTCTTTGTATTTACAACTTGGCTGATAGGTACCAAGAGGCCTAGCTTTCAGCCCATCTTGGCTTACATATGCCTTCCTCACTAAGCTTAATCGTTTCCATCTTTTGACTGAAAGTGAGACATGTGACTCTTCCTTTCACTTTAACACTTAGAGGCCATTGTAGGGTTATTAATTGGCCTAATTTCAACATTGTTGTGTCTCAGGGAATAGGGACTGCAGGAAAGGGAGAGAGATGGGAAATGGCCAGTTGGTCAAACAGTTAAAACAAAGACAACATTTATCCATTAAGTTCCCCCATCTTATCTGGGCATGGTTCATGGTGCCCCAAAACTTACTATTATTATTTTTTGAGACAGAGTCCTGCACTGTCGCCAGGCTGGAGTGCAGTGGCGCGATCTTGGCTTACTGCAACCTCCACCTCCAGGGTTCAAGCGATTCCCCTGCCTCCCAAGTAGCTGGGACTACAGGCCTGCGCCACCATGCCCGGCTTATTTTTTGTATATTAGTAGAGATGGGGTTTCACCATGTTAGCCAAGAAGGTGTCTATCTCCCGACCTCATGATCACCTGCCTTAGCCTCCCAAAGTGCTGGGATTACAGGCGTGAGCCACCGCGCCCGGCCTTAAAACTATTATAATAGTAACAGCAAACATCACTGATTACCGATCACCGTAACAGAAATAATGAAAAGGTTTGAAATATTGCAAGAATTACCATATGTGACACAAAGCGTATGCTGCTGGAAAAAACGGCACCAAGAGACTTCCTCTGG